AACGGAAACGTCTCGTGCCTTCTAGTCACTCTCATGCCTATTATTTGGAGCCATCATGACCGTCAATCGGCATTAGCGTGTTGGATCAAGCTTGCGGGTGCACGAGTGGGCCCGGCATCTGTTGGCAACATTTTTTGGGGGCAACAGATACTCTTTTGGGGAAGAAAACACAAGGCAAAGCACTGAGATTTGGATCAAATTTAAGATTGAAAGAGAATTTCTTGGTGCAATTTATTTTTCTTCAGAAGCAATTCAAAAATCTGGTTCTGTATTCTAATTTCAATTTTTGTATTTCTTCAGTAATGATGTTTAACTAATTTCTTTGTTAGAATAAACGATGAAATCTAGTGTGAATCTAGATTTTAGTTTTAAGTTTTAATTTTGCATTTATTTTTGTGTGTCGTTTTACTTCTATTATCAATACGAGGGATAATTAGCTACTGTTTCACTGAATTGTGAACGATAGCGAACCGAGAGACGAGTTATTTGTTAAAACCATGTTGTAAAAATCGAGAATTGGATGAAAAAAGAGAGATGCTTTTGCAATTTTTACCACCTTTAATTGAACTCTTTGATATCGAATGCACTTAATTAAGTAATAATTTTAATTCTCAGAGAGAGATATAGTAAGTTGACTTAGTAAAATTATTTTTACTCGAAAGAGACTATCAATTAATTTCTAGGGATTCGGCTAGATACACGGAATATGTTGTTGTTAGAATTGATGGAATGAACCTATTAATTTTCACATAAATCCAAAAAAACATATACATAAAATCACCACATTAAATTGATTTTTTGCGTTCATTCAAATAGAGGCTAGACATAATTTACTGAACAAATTTTTAGACAATTGCTCTTTAAACTAATGGTCATTTTCCTTTAGAAAGTCTATTTTTATGGTTGTTGGATTATTTATTTCCGATGGAGCTTTAATGGCAATAAATCTGCTTACATGAAAACTTAAGCAAAATAAGGAAATTACTTGCACAATGTAGTAATATTTCGTACCATCAAAATTTGGTCTAATCTTTAGATGCCCCGAAAATACCATGACACTCTCGGAAAATTATCAGATTAGGTATCAACTGTTTCAATATAGAAGCATCGTGTGACCAAGAAAAAAACTCGTTGGCTTCAATACGAAGATCAGGTTTGTGTTTGGTTGGTTGGTCGGTCTTTCCATATGGGGAAGAATAAATAAAGGGACACTGTGTGCTGGAAAAGCTGGCATTATCCTTTCTTATATTTATCAAAGTAGTTGTAACAAACCATAAGAAAAATAGTTTCTTTTTTTCATGGTTTTGTCATCATTACATTTTGCCCACAAATTAAATTATCCTATCAATTACATCCACCAAAAATTGTATAAAGATTATGCAATTTAGTTCATATGCAACATCATTGTGGAATATGGACATGAAATTTGGTAAAGATTAGCTTGTTTGTTTGTCAATTCACATCTTATGAAAAACATATTTTCATATTTTAAGAATAGATAGCTCTTGTCTACTCGTTTTAGCAAAAAAAAAAAAAAAGTATTTATTTCTGTGAGGAAAACTAACAATAAAGTTTGTATTGAGTCAAAAAAAATTGAACCCTAATCCCCAAAAAAATGAAAAATGAAAAATAATTTGAATAATAATATAAGAAGTCGTATGTATACCACTAGAGAAAAAGTAATTAATTATAGAATAAAAGAAAAGAACGTTCATTTTTAGTCAATGCATTGTTTGTAATTGTCACACTAATCATGAAAATTAAGCTAAAGAGAATCTTAACGTAATTAAATGCTCAAAAGGGCAAGCCTTAGCAAAAATAAAACATATTTTCTTGCAAACTTCTATTTTAAGTAAGGTCGAAAACAATGTTAGGTGTACGTCCTTTCATAATTAGTTATTTTGACGTGTTAAACATGTTTATGTTAAATTTGTTATATTTACATTCATGAGTTACGGATGCACAACATATAAATTTATACTTATGATTTTTATATAAAGTTAAATTAAAAAGAAAAAGCACAAAGGGCAAAAAATTGGTGCCTTTTTCAAAAGCACTCTTTTTAGAGTTGAAAAGCATTTCTCGCATTTTTTTAAATATTGGTTCAAGTTATAAACAGATAGAAATGAATAGTACATAAGTGTGCAGTATTTTTAAATTTCATAAAATACGGGATAAAAAGTAATTTGATCAATTAGCATTAGCTAAACATGGATAAAATGGGAATAGGGTCTGGTTTTAAATTTTTGCTATGTCAATCTAATATTCTAATGAAGCGCAAGATATGAGTTACATCTTTAATTACCAAGTAAAGGATCAATTCTTTCCTTTACTTAATCTTCTATTAGACTAAGTCGATTGAATTGAGTTCACACGACTACCACGAACAATATGCACGCGTTTACGTCTAGGTCATAAAATTATCTCTGTGGTGTAAATAATAGAAATTTCTTTAATTCTCTCGATGAATTGGCCAATCCTAAGATTTTTTTTCTTGAATTTGTATTACTAAATGAAGAATCTTTCTTAAAGACTTCGAGTATATTATGGATTAGAACCTAAATCACAATTAATTAAAGAAAAGGTCATCAAGACCAGACCAGGCTGTCTGAATACTAAAATATAATCATTGTAAATATAATTAATTATTTAATAATTATAAGAAAAAGTCCATACCCCAACATATGTTCACCCATTCTTGCCGGTCAGCAGCTTATCTTTTATATATGGCCATTCTTATTATTTTATTGGGATGATTTTCCCATGCGGAGTCAATCTATTGATCGAATAGTAAAAGGAGCAAGCAAGTCCTCAAATTTTTAGATTGAATAGTAAATCGATACTCAACCTTCCAAAAAAGATAAGTAAGCAAGTGTTCAAATTTTTATTATAGCCACAAAATCAATCCCCAATAACAGAAATCATCAAAGTCTTCATAGTGACTTGACTTAATGGAAACTTGCTTCATTTCAAATTTCATAACACGAGTTGCGGAGCTATGATTTTTAGGAGTACCAATATACATGTATTATATTATATGCATATATTAAAGATTGAGGAGAGGACGTCCCCTTGTAACTCCGCCTATGCTTGACACCATCCATCCCAAGTTGAGAAATAAACTATCATTGCATGACGTTTTTCATTCGAGGTCCACTTAACAAATTGTGCTACTTTAAAACCTAGCTAGCTTTGTAAACTTGGTCTTCAACCTTTAAAATTGTAACAAAATAGGAGTCAACTTTTTATTATAATTACACAATAAGTCTTCAATAATAGAAACATTCATGTTTTCTCTATACATGAAGGGAATTTCATTTTATATTTATATGTACCAATTAGTTAGGAAATACAACACTACGTAAAATTGAACATGTGAAGAACGGAGTAGAATTTGGATAGTTTACTTCGCTGAGAACTTTAAGATCTGTTTGATGCCTCGTTAAAAAGAGTTTTTGAAGGGTTAATTTTTCGAAAATGTGTAGTTAAAAGTATAGAAAAGTTTTGAATTTACGCACAAAATATTTTATTATGAAAATGTATGATTAAAAATAGATTTTAGAAGAATAAAATTTTAGAGAATGATAAATAAAAATGGGCTTAATAAAAGGTTGAACACCAACTTACTAATAATTTTTAAAGGTTTGAAAATCAATGTACGAGTCAAACAATAAGTTGAGAACCAATGAATGTAATTTTTCTTATTTTATACATACACCAAATTAACTATTCGCCATATGATTTTGTTCTCACCTGCAGGCTGCCGACTTCCGGCGGCTGTTGGAGACAACTCCAATCCCCACCGCCGGGTTTGACTTGATCGTTTTGACTTTTTCGAACTATTGTAGGTTAAAATATAGGTTTCATCGAGTTAAAATTACTGATAATTTCAAACGTACACATGATAAATACTTGACAAAATTTTTATTTCACCTGTATAACAATATATGGAGAGAGACGTGTACACAACTACATTATTGTATTTGTTTATATGTTTTTGTTAAAAGTAGACTTTAGAAAACAGCTAATTGTTTGATCCTTCATTTCCACCATCTTTTGCCTTCAGTAGAAGTTTCTTGATTTCAAAAAGAATCTTCAAACATCTCCACAGACAATTTAGTCTTTTTGATTTTCCATTTGCAGCGTGTAGTAAAATTTCATCGGTGATATATTGGATGGCGGTGTTGTTAGAAGAAAGTTTTCCGGCCAGAAAACGGCGGCCGTCAGCCGGAGCATTCTTCTCGCCAAGCTTCTCCGATAACAAGCTCCTCCAGTCCCTCTTTCTTCTCTCTCAAGAAATCTTATCTCTCTCACCACTCAGAATTCTCCTCAAGAAAAGCTCATCTTCAATAACAAGGAAATCAAGGCTCCTCTCCATCTTTTTCGAAGAGCTTCTTCGCAACCCAGCAAACGTTTTTCCACCTTCAGCTGCCTTGTGCTTTGAAGAATTGTACATAGTTATGCAGAGAATAAAAATTCTCCTGGAAGATTGTTCCAGCTGTAGCACGATGTGGCTGCTAATGCAAACACCATCAATTTCGAATTCATTTCATCAATTGACAGGAGAATTATCGACCCTTTCGGATATTTTTCCGATAAAAGAGTTGAATTTAAACGAAGATGTTGATGAGTTGTTTAATCTGATCAAGAAACAGTGCTCAGAAAAGTCATCTGATTTTGATTCTTACGATGAAAATCTTCGAGTTAAGGTTTTGAAAGTGCTGGAAGATATTAAAAGTGAAATCGTTCCTGATTCTACGACACTTTCAGAGATTTTCGACAGATTAAATTTACGTGATTCGACAAGTTGCAGTACTGAAATTGAAAATTTAGAAGATGAAGTGCAAAATCTAAATGATGACACATCAAAATCCGATATAGTCGCGCTGATCGGGCTTGTACGCTATGCAAAGTGTGTGTTGTATGGTGCCTCAACGCCTAGAACCATCAGCAGGAGGCGAAAGCCGGTGGTGGATGTGAATTTTCCTGCTGATTTTCGGTGTCCCATTTCGCTTGATCTGATGGGGGACCCTGTGGTGGTGTCCACGGGACAAACGTATGACCGGTCGTCTATAAGCTTGTGGATCGAGTCAGGACATAACACGTGTCCTAAAACAGGTCAGAACCTGGTCCATACGCAGTTAATACCCAATCTGGCGTTGAAGAATTTGATAGCAATGTGGTGCCGCCACCAGAGAATCCCATTTGAGTCAACAGAAACGAATATCAAATCTAACGGCGTTGTTTTGAACAAAACCGCGTTGGAAGCCACCAAGATGACGGTTTCGTTTTTGCTTAACAAATTAACGGCGTCACAATCGCCATTAGCATTAAATCGTATGGTTCATGAGCTGCGGATATTGGCTAAGATTGATTCGGATAGTCGTGCCTGCATAGCGGAGGCTGGAGCTTTGCCTTTATTGGTCAAAATCTTAGGTTCGGAACACCCAGATCTACAAGTTAATGCCGTCACAACTATTCTTAACCTCTCGATCCTTGAAGCAAATAAGTCTAGGATAATGGAGACGGACGGAGTTTTAAACGGCGTTATCGAGGTATTAAGGTCGGGTGCCACATGGGAAGCAAAGGGAAATGCGGCAGCCACCATATTTAGCTTGACAGGTGTACAGGCTTATAGGAAAAGACTAGGTCGAACGACATGTGTCGTGAAGGGATTGCTCGATCTAGCAAGGGAGGGCCCCACAAACACGAAAATGGATGCAATGGTGGCAATTTTAAATTTGGCGGGAGACAGGGAGGCAGTAGGGAAGTTAATTGAGGGAGGGGTGGTGGATATGGTTGCCGAGGTCATAGATTCCCTGACAGAGGAGGCGGTGACCATCCTCGAAATGGTGGTAAAGCGGGGTGGATCGGCGGCAATCGCGGCTGCTTATCACCGGAATATGATGAAAAAATTGGCGTCAGTTCTGAGGGATGGTAGCGATAGAGCTAAAGAAAGTGCTGCAGCCACTCTAGTGAATATTTGCCGGAAAGGCGGTTCGGAGTTAGTGTCGGAGCTGGCCTCAATCGCTGGAATCGAGAGAGTGTTGTGGGAAATAATAGGAATGGGAACAGGAAGAGCAAAAAGAAAGGCAGGGACATTGATGAGAATTTTAAGGAGATGGGCTGCTGGACAAATTGAAGATCATGTTAACATTGGACAATCTACAACTGTGATTATGAATTCAACCAGGATAATATTGCCAGGATAATGTTAATTTCCGTAAATTTTAATTATAAATTCTTCTCTAAGACATTCGTTAGTTCACCACAAAATCTTTTTTCTTGTTTTTATTTCCCTATAGATTTGTCATGTTTTTGTTTTTGGGTTGGTTTTGGCCAACTATGTTTCTGCCAAACAATTGTAAATCTGGACCAATATTTAAGAACTTAAAGCTTGAGTTATTGTTGGTATAAAATAGCAAGCGTACGATGTCAATTAAATTAGTAGTAAAATGAACCTAAATAGTGTGGATCTTCGTCTCGTAGACACTATTTTATCTGAATCCCGATTTCAATTACTCTACCTATTATTTGAAGAAAACAACATTTCCCACAAAATTTTGATTATAAGTAATGTTAACTAAGAAAAGATAAAACTATTCAATATGATGGTTAAAGCATTGCGACTCACGATTTCACCTTAATTATCACATTTAATCTCGCTTCTCAACCTTGGAGCATTCGTCTTTTTTGGCATTTTGGTCTCTGCCTCAAGTTTCTTGTATGTTTTAGTCCTTTTCGGTCCAAATCTTCAATATTGATCCAGCAACTCGCGAAAGCATCAATGTTGGTCCCCGAACTTCCATAATCACCCATTATTGGTCATCTTCAAGTTTCGAAAGTGTGCAAATATGTTCCCAATCTTCGACAAATTGATCAAGTCTAATTGGTGAGATACTTGGTTTCCTAATGTGAAAAATAAACACGCCAATTGCACCAAGGAAACCGGGCTTAGTATTGATCAATTGACACCACAAAGAGAAAACTCAATCCCAAACCAACTCAAGACCCCTCGACTGGTTGCTCAAGAAATCTGCCCACAAACAAGGACTAAGGATGGAGGTTATAATAGCCACCGAAAACAGCCACTAAGTCTATAGAAAAGTGAGAAGCAATAGCACAGTGGAAAGCACGAAGCAAGAGGCAGAGAATACAAAGCAAAGTCAAGAGACCGCCGCTATTTCTTCTCAAGTAAAGGGCTAAATTATATTCACTCACAAAGCACAATAATGGACACGGTAAATATAAGGTAGAATTAGGTGTGAGCTTTAGGTCACAAAGATTAGTGCCCGATAGGAAATCTGTTAGTGGGCTATCAAATCGAAAGAGCCATCCAGGTCTTGGGTTGGACCATCAACAGCACTAATTTAATTAGGCTGCTTCAAATGGCCCAAATGATTATGTGATTGATTTACCAAATTGTGGTGTCGATATACGTTCAGTCATTTGGTCGATGCCAACTGAAATACACAATACTTACATCATCACCCAGGGAGTTCATTTGACAACCATTTGCCTAACACCTAATACAAGTTCTAAAATGTAATACAGCTTTTCCAATACGAGTCTCCTGCGTAGTACATTATTTGGTAAGAATCTGTTCATTGTGTCTCGATCCATGTTTATGTAAAGAAACTAAGACTATTATGATTTCGTAAATTGATCCATTATGTTACCAAGGATGTAAAATTGAGAGTTCTGTGGATTTTACTTGTTCCTAATATTGAATAAACTTAATCTATGTGCAATCTGTAATTAAGTTTTGAAATACGAATGAGGTCTATATTTGCTATCATCTTGAGAATAACTTTAATTTTTATTTGTATTGGGTTTTGATACCAAAAAATCTCGAGCAATGATATTAAACAGCTTGGATTATATTTCATATAAGTCTTGAGCGATGAGCGAAATAACTATCAACACAATCAATTTATAAACTCAACACGAAACTCAGGTCATTGAAAGCAATTTAATTAGTTAATGTTGCTCATGGCCACTATACCTCTTGAATGACCCTTTTAATGTGTTAGCCCAATTATCTCTTTGTTGGTCCATTTGTGGGATAATATTGGTAAGTTTGAATTGAGTCCGAATTCCAGAAATGAAGATCCATTCCGCTACAATTTGATTTTAAAAAAAAAAACTGCCCGTACTTTTGATCTTGGAATAAGATCAGTAAGAGACCTCCAAAAGTCCTCCTTTTACGGAGTATCATGGGTTTGAGGTTGATAAGACCTTGCATAAATCATATAAAGATGTTAGAAATACAACTAATGCTAGTATGACTACAGTTTTGAAGCTTTGTTGGATTTGTTGATGCTAGAATTATCCTGAAGAAAATTCTGCTATTTTCCCATAAAATTTATTTTCATCACATTTTCTTAGCCTCCTTGTGTATTAGATTACTGTTCGATCTGTTTTTTTCTCCTTCATCTTTTTAAGATGAGGAAATGGAATGATACAACCCATGAATTTCCGGAGTATTACTGTTAAACATGGTCCATTCCTGACATTATGTTTGTTTATTAAACTACGTGAGATTCTTGTTTTGGCCTTGTTCGTTATACTACTTCAGTGTTGGTGATGGATTGATTATATTGGTGGATGGTGATTTTTTTGCATACCACCCTCAAGTTATTTCTTTGTTTAGCTTCATTCGCATGCAAGCAATTTTGAAATAATATCATTCGACCCTTGTAAGAGGGAAATTTTTTTGGCTAAATTTAATTTTTCAAACTCAATTTGGTTACCACTACACCATATTAAATTTGAGAGGACGGATACGCACAACACATCACTTTCGTATACAGAACACAAATAAATTCAACCGAAGTCTGAGTTAGTTATTCCACCAATTGTGGATGAAGAATATTATATATAAATGTGGCAAAGATGTGGAAGTACAAAATCTTAGAAAAGAAGAGTTGTACACAAAAACATGAATATATACCAGCAAGGGAGAAAGAAAATTAAAATGATTGGAGCATCGTCGGTGATTGTCAACAACATTGTTGATGTATAACTGTTAATGATTGCTGGCGGTTATGTGTCTCTTACCACTAATGGCGTTCAAATCTTCGACAAATATTGATTTTTGCTCAGGAACCTTATGTTGGTGATCATTTTTTTGTTTTAATTCATTTTTCAAGATCACCCTTTTTTTAATATTTGGATGAAATTTTCTAAAATCTGTGACTTTAGGTAATATCATCACTTATTCAAAAGTTGAGCCAACTCTAATTTTTTTATTTTTCTCTCAAATGATCATGACACGAAATATTGGGCCGAATGAGTCTGAATATTCTTTGTGAGCAGATCGACCCATAATACGTAAATGGGTTGAGAGATAAACTTGTGTGAATTGTAGAGAAATTCCTCTTTTTCTCTAATTAATTAATTACATTCTAACTACATCCTTTTATAGCATACAAGAGAGGTTGAAAAAGGAAAAATAATATTCCTAAATCAATCCAAGAATCTCCTAAAATCTTTTCTAATTGCTAGAATTATGATTTTCCTAAATTGACAATGCTAATTAGGGAAGTTGGAATATTTCCACATTATCGGGATTTCAACACTCTCCCTCAAGTTAAATTGTAGATATTGATTATATCTAACTTGTGAATGAAATTATCGAACTTTGATCGAGGTAACATTTTGGTGAAGATGTCTGCAATTTGTTCATTTGTAAGAACGTATGTCATGCAAATAGTCCATTCTTCCACCTTTTCTTTGATGAAGTGTCTGTCTACCTCTACATATTTAGTCCAATCATGTTGGACTATCACAATATAGTTTAATTGGAAACTTCGTTATAACATATAGCTCTTCTAGGAGTTTTTTCAATCATAAACCTTCACATATTCTTTGTGCTACTACTCTAAACTCTACTTCAGCATTGTCTCTGGCAACTAAGTTGTTCTTCTTGCTTCTCCATGTTACTAGATTTTTCCCATACAAAAGTGCAGTATCTAGTAGTTCATCTTCTATCTTCCGTGGAACCTACCCAATCTGTATCTGTGAAAACTTCCACATCCTTACTTTCATCCTTTTTTAATAATAATCATCTTCCTAGTGAACCCTTGAGACATCTGAGTATCTCATAGACGGTTTCTAGGTAGGTTTTCTTCAAATAGTGCATATGCTGACTTACCATGCTAACTTAAAAAACACTATCTGGTCTAGTGTGTGAAAAGTAGATTAGTTTACCTACTAGTCATTGATATATGTATGTGTCTACTACATTGCCCGTATTCTCAATTTTATTCTCCACATCAACCGGTATATCATTTGATGTTTCAAGAACATATTTTCTTTGTGATACGCTGATCTCCCTTTTTACCTAGCTACTTTCATTCCTAAGAAGTATCGCATTGGTCCCAGATCTTTTATTTCGAATTCAGTGGCTAGATTCTCCTAAAGCTTCTCCATTTCTATTGTGTTATCTCTTGTCAAGATTATGTCATCAAAATATACAATTAAGATTGTCTTAATTCCATCATCAAACTGTTGGAGGAGCATAGTGTGATTTGACTATTCTTGTTGGTATCCTAGTCTCTTTCGTACTTTTGCAAATATGTCAAACAATTCTCTAGGTGATTGCTTTAGTCCTTACAAAGACTTCTTGAGCTTGCATACCTGATTCCTTTCGTTTACTTTGCAAAAACCCGGTGGTATTGTCATGTGAACTTCTTCCAATTCTCCATTTAGAAATGCATTCTTAATGTCCCGTTGGAGGAGTTAATCCAAATTTACTGCCATTACAAAAGTAATCGAACTGTATTTAATTTTTGCCACAGTGCAAATGTTTTTGTATAGTCAATGTCATAAGTCTAAGTGTATCCCTTTGCAACTAGTCGAGCTTTATATCATTCTACTGTCCCATGTGTTTTATACTTTAAGTTGAAGACCCATTTGCGTTCAACTGGCCTCTTTTCTCTTGGCAGATCCATTACTTCCCACGTTTTCTTTTTTTCTAACGCTCGCATTTCCTCAATTACTGCTTCTTTCCACTTTGGAATTTCCAAAACTTCATCAATATCCCTTGGAATTTTGGTGCTATCAAGGTGAGAGGTGAAACTACGAAATCCTGTAGATAGAGCAAACATTATATGACATGAACTTTGAGATGTGATGGAGAGTACATATTTGAGTTTGTTTTCTGAGTGCAATGGGTAGGTTAATGCCTAATGATTCCAATACATTTGTGGTGTCAGGAGACTCTGGAACTATCATTATCTTCGACTCTTTTGGTGCTTCAAGTGTAAGGTTCTCCTGATGCCTTGTCTTTGGTTCTCTTGAGTAAACAAGTATTTCTTTGCCTTTTTTTCTGCATCTTCTCTAGATTCAATGCATTTTCTCTAGATTCAATTTTTCTCCTATAAATGGCATAGATGAACTAGGTGGCATAGATTCCAAAGGGAGAAGATCTAAGTTTAGGTACCAATCTTCACTTAAATTCTCCCCCTAAAAAGAGGTTTTGCGGAAGTATGGGATATTTTCATAGAATGTGACATTAAGATTGACATTATTTGTGGAAGGATCATAACATTTGTATCCCTTTTGAGTAGGAGAGTATATGAGAAGGACACATTTAATGGCTCGAGGTTCTAGTTTATTTTTGTGACTGTCGTAAACATGGACAAATGTGATACACCCAAATACTTTGAGAGGTAGGTTCGAGTTGCGTGGAGAGGTCGGAAAGAATGTTTGAAATCTTTGGAGAGGTGATTCAAAGTTTAAAGTACAGCTAGATATTCGATTGATTAGGTAGGTGGCTATTAAGATAGCATCACCCCAGAATCCTTTTAGCATATTGGTAGTACACATTAAAGCTCTAGTAATATCTTGGAGATGTCTATTTTTTTATTCAATAATCTCGTTTTGTTAAGGAGTTTCAACACAAAAGTTTTGATTAATTATCCCATGAGTTTGAAGGAAATTCCCCAAATTTTTGTTGAAGTATCCAATGCTATTATATGTGCGTAGAATTTGAATGTTTGTTTGGAATTGAGTTTTTATCATAGAGTGGAATTGATAAACATAGATCAAGCATCAGATTTGTCTTTCAATAGGTACACCCAACATATTCGAGTGTAGTCATCAATGAATGTAACGAACCATTTTGTGTGATTTCGATTAGGAGTGAGTACGGGACCCCAGACGTCACTATAGATCATACTGAATGGTTTTGAGGGTTTATATGTGGATTTTGAGAATGAGGTACGTTTACATTTAGCAAGTTCACAAAATCACATTGAAAATTGAATAGTTTTTTTATTTCGAAAAATAGTAGGGAATACATGTTTTAAATACTGAAAATTGAGATGTCTCATTCTAAAATGCTATAACAAAATTTCGCTATCACTAAAAACAAATGCAGAATCACAAACGGCAATTCGATGTTGATTACTTATATTAACATCGTCCAAGTAGTAGAGCTACTCACACTCCTTAGCACAGCAAATCGTCTTCCCCGATGATATGTCTTGAAAAACAAATGTGAAGAAAGGAATTTAGCATTACAATTCGAGGTTTTTGTGAGTTGGCTTATAAATAGTAAATTATGTGATAAATTAGGAACATGAAGGACATATTTTAAAGTTATGGAGTCAGAGATTCAAATACTCACTTTTCCTGCTACATGTGAGAGTGACTCGTCAGCAAACTTAACTTTCAGATTACCTACACCAGTTGTGTATGAGGAAAATAGGTTGTAGGAGCTTGTCATATGATGAGATACTCTTGAGTCAATTATCCAAAGGGTTTTAAGTTTAGAGGTAGCATTTAATGCTCTTAGAAAATTACCTCTATGAGCTAGTGAGCTCAAATGGCCAATTTGGGAAGGTTGATAGGATGTTTGAAGGCTCGAGAAAATTTTGTAGAGTTGCTCTATTTGTACAAGATTGAAAGTACCGGTTAAGTCGAAATTTGTAGTTTGATGGTCAATCGAAGCTTGATAGCCTCGATTTCTATTATTCTGCCACGATTTCCAATATGTCGATTTTCTATATAAATCCCAGCAAGTATCTTCATTGTGACCCGGTTTACGGCAATGTTCGCACCAAGGTCGCCCCTTTTGTGTATGAATTAATCTCTCCATTATTCGGCATATTTCCATATATATTATCAACTGGTTTGGCCCAATTTTGAGAGACCAGGCCTTTTCATCAACAACGCTAACATCGCTTCTTCTCTAACATCGAATTTTCCACTATTCAGCATCACTCGCCTTTGAATTTCCTCCCGACGAATCTCCGAAAAAACTTCCCTCGTTGATGGTAGTGATTGCCGCCTTAAGATCCTTCATCTAACATGATCTAATTCATGTTGGAGTCTGGCCAAAAATTCAAATACTTTTTCTCTCTCCACTTTCTTCCGATAGCGTGGGCAATCAGCCGGACAGTCCCACTCTTCCTCTGTACTTAGGTTAAGTTCTTGCTATAGCGCCACAATCTCCATGTAATATTCAGTTACGTCTCTATCTCCTTGTTTGGTTCCCACAATTTGGTTTTGATTTCGAAGATATGGGAAGAGTTTTCGGAATCTGAATGTCTCTCTAACTGCATCCCACACATTTTTCACGGTTGGTAGGAAAAGATACAACTATCCAATGGAGGGCTTCATGGAGTTCATGAGCCAAGCGGTCACTAGGGAGTTTTCTGATTTCCATCGCTGTAAACGAGCAAAATTAGTCGAGGCAGGCTTCTTCGTGTCACTATTCAAGTACCCCAATATACATTTTCCATTGATCAGAAGTTTAATTGACTGAGCTCATTGTTTGAATTTTTTTTCATTTACTTTTCTACGGTGAGTTGGAAGGATAAATTGTCAATTCTCCCCAAACCCATTGTGTGAATGGCTTCGGTTACACCATCATGGGATTCAGAAGTCATTGACTCCAAACTGATGTCGACGGTGTCAATCACTAGTCTTTTACATGGACTGCTCTGATACCATGTGAATTGTAGAGAAATTCCTCTTTTTCTCAAATTAATTAATTACACTATAACCACATCCTTTTATAGTATACAAGAGAGATTAAAAAGGGAAAAAAATATTCCTAAATCAATCCAAGAATCTCCTAAAATCTTTCCTAATCACAAGAATTGTGATTTTCCTAAATTGACAATGGTAATTAGGGGAGTTGGAATATTTCCACATAACCGGGATTTCAACACCATGATTTTAAGTCGACCCTTAATCTATCTTTAGGATGACATTGAGGCTGAAAAGCATAGAAAATTCGTCCATAAAAATGCACCAATAATTAGAAAAGGGAGTGATGAGATGATATGAGACGAGACGAGACTAGTGATTAATTTGGTCCCCAACATATGTGAGAGTGACTAGACCCTTTTTTGTGTTTCCATCCAAGCTAAAGAGTAGGGGACCATGGCCGAACCCAATTGAACCCTCCCCATAGGTATGTTGGTTCAGGACAGTTTCAATAATGGCTGCACCCATTCCGTTCTTGTCAATTTACAGAAAAAAAATATATTGTTTTGTCAGCTTAAGATCTTTGCATCTTTCAGTGAGCTTATGATTTTCGTCTCAGCCTCAGATACGTTTAGACATATTTGTCGTCTTACGCATCAAAGTGGGAATGCAAACAACGTGAAAGAATAACTAAACAAGGGCGAATACTTATAAATGAGTTATAATTCAGCTCTATAGGAAATTCATGCATTCTTAGCCCATATTTGGCTACTGTTTAAATTCTGTGAACTAACTTTTTATTCATATATTTCGTGTAATCCGCAAGTTCTACTCACTTATCCCCTACTATTTATAATTTAGAACAACTCTTGACATGTAGCCAAGCAAATCATAGAATGCTATAGTTCTTACCATTGCTCTAATTTTCTCGTATTTATACTTGCTGAAACAGAAACATGAATTATTTGTGACAAAATTCAGGAGGCAAATTATGTCGATGTTTTAAAGAAAGATTTAGGAATACTTCAAAATGTCATCTGTAAACCAATCGAATACTTCAATTTTAACTCATGGCAACAAGACATAAATTGAAGATGTTCATCGAAATCAAAGTTATAATAATTATTCAGTTGATTTAGTAGTTTAGCATTATTATTGAATGAACTCAGGATCGACAAGCCTAAATTTGTAATTAAAATTTAGTACTCCATATTAGCATTATTACTGTATAGACTCGAGATGTTTATGGAATCTAATGTTTTAATAATAATAATTGTGTAGTTGATTTAGTACTGCATTTTAGCACAATTATTGACTTGTTAGGGGAATCATAAGGAAAATTGGTGCATAATTTGAATTATGCTCAAACCAATCATAATAAACGAACTTTGGGTATGACAAAAGGTCAATCATTATAGCTGTGCCATTTTCCTTCTATTGTGGACCCCATTTAACCCCCACCTTTCTATTTATCATCTCACTCGCTGTCCAAAGCTACTAAACGAAACTCTCCACAGAGAGGAAGAGTCTTCATTTCCCAATATTTCTTCCCATCCTTGGATACAAGAAATAGTCCCGAGGGACGTTCTTTTGGTGAGCTGTACAGCCATAGAGCCCACAAATTGAAGAAGTTACACAAAACATGGGCAATTACAGATTCAGATTATCAGATATGATACCAAATGCCTGGTTTTACAAGCTCAAAGACATGAAGAAAACCAGAAACTGGAAAAATGCGAACTCCTCGAAGAAAAAACAGCAGAATACAACACTATCATCAGTTGCAGCACCAATTCAGGCTCAGCCATCAACAAACAGGCAATTACCCCACCTCTCTGACCAAAGAAAATCTTATTATTTCACTAGGGATCTTAATCCAGAAACAAATAATATCAAATTCTATACCAATTCACCATCCACTACACGAGTTTGTGAAAAACAAATTCCAGAACCAGCAAGAAAATCATCGAGGGGGAGAAGGAGCATGAAGAGAATCAGAAATTCTAGTGTTCGGCCTTCTTCTAGTCTTGTTAACAACACGTCCATTTCAGCGGGTTGCAGATGTGGAGCCAATGTCGAATCCATATGGACTAAGCCGGATTCCACACCAGAAGAGTACCCGAATTCACCAAATGGTAGTTCCTCCTCCGAGCATGAATCTCTCTTGCCTGACTATGGTTCAGACAGGGATACATTTGATGGCAAGCTTTCGTGGTCAACCTCGTGTCGATGCAGAACTGAAACTGATACCATAATTGACATGGAAAATCGAAATCCATTCAATGCCAAATCTGATGCTACTAATCAGAAACTTGATGGTTTTGTTAATCTTCCTCCAATCATCACCAGGCAAAGTAAAACAGGCTATACGAAAAGGGAAATGAAACTGACAGAGACCAATAATCCGACCAAGATCAGAACCTCGGCCAAATTTGATGAAAAGAATGCATTAGAGTCCCTGTCTGTTAAGGTTGTCAAGGAGGACGTTCTAAGTACTTGTCCCAAACAACATAAGACTCGTACTAATCCTATCAGGAGATTTCCAGGGAATTCACCAGGTTTGAAACTAAGGACTAATTCTCCGAGGCTTGCAGCGAACTGGAGAATTCATGGACGGAAAAGTGCATCATCCATTTCAAGTTCATGCTCAAGAAGAAGTGTATCAGAGAGTTTTGCAGTTATGAAATCATCTCAGAATCCACAGAGAGATTTTAGGGAATCAATGGTGGAGATGATTGTGGAGAACAACATCAGGGCTTCAAAAGATTTGGAGGAACTTCTTGCCTGCTATCTTTCACTCAATTCTGATGAATATCATGATCTGATCATCAATGTTTTCAAGAAGATTTGGTTTGATATTATAGATATTTGAATTCTTGTAAATTCTTTACTTTTATCCTTTAATAGATTATAGAGTACTCTAATTACATAATTAGTCTCTCTTTCGAGCTTTAACGGTTGTATGAGTAGGAAAAATAAGCTAAATTTTCGTTCATTATATTGTCTCGGGTATTTGCTACTATAATCTCACCTATTTATTCATGCTGTTTTTGCTCATAATTAATATATGCTAATAATTAGTATTGTCAGCAAATCTATTTCAAGATTTATTATAGACCAACATGCATCTACTTTAACAATGACATGTTGAGAAATTTTTTTATGTGAAAAATTTACAGACTGTATTTAGCAAATAAAAGGAAAAAAAATAAAAAAATGTCACAAGTATTTTTTTCATCCTTTATTTAATTGATTTAACCCTCCTACAATAATAATATTGTCTTTAGTCTGTACGTGTGCACGAAAGTGGGTTTCCTTCCTTTTGTCACTGACTTTTCCAAATGCTTTGAGCTTTTGTCTTTCTCTGTCCAAAGTGAAAGAACAATTTGCTGTAAGGTTTAATATGTTAAACTCACAGAAACATAAAGCTCGAAAATCACGAGCATAAGCGAGTCAGAACCAACTGTTGTAGTGAGAAGTGGGACAAAAAAATATGATCGAAGTCTCGTTGATCTTATAAAAAGAACTGCGACATGATTGAGTTGTAGTTTCTATTGATTCTTAAGAATGCCAAAAAAATAGGAATCAAATACTTGTTCATAGATTCTGATTTTAAAGCGAAAAGGATTTTCTACTGGCTAAAAATTTCTTCTATAAATTTGAGGAAAAATTGTAGTAATTAATCTTTTCAATTTTTTCAGACTTTACCCTAATCGTCATTTTGGGCTAGTGAAGGTCTCTAACCTTTCATAAATATGCAGATGGGTCCATCTAGACGGAAAACCGTCCAAAACACCGTCAGTTGACCTGAAAAATTAAAAAATAAGGTATTTTGACCATTTTAAGAAGGGACAATTTCGTTCATACAGTATTTTTCCTCATTTATTGTTCAAAGTAATGTATATTTCCCTCAAAATAATTAAAATAAAGAATAAAAAAATAAAAGGAACATGAACGGTTCACCCCACCCCACTCCACTATACCAAAACCAAATATAACCGCCTCCCCCTTCTTCACGAAGACCATCGGCCATCGCCAAAACCAAAACCATCATCTGCAAATATGTTTCTTTTCTAGATTAATTCTACTCCATTGATTTTAGATATAAAGGAGAAAGAGTAGTAGAATATTACTATTACATATATTGAGGTTAGATCTCTACGGAAAAAAATCAATTACTCTAGTGTCAATCATTTTGGCCTTTTAGGTTTTTTCTTGAAATTTTTTTGGTTTGTCCTTACCTTTGTCAGGGAAAATTGATGATAATAAAGATCCTTTCTTATTTATGGGGGTGAAGGGATGGGTTAGGTTTTTTTTTTAGTTTTAATTATTGTAATGATTATTATAGGATTAACCAAATTGTCACTCCTTAAAATTGTCAAAATATATTTTTTTTTCAAGTCAACTGACAGTGTTTTGGACAGTTTCCGTCCAAATGGACCCTCAACTGCATATTTATGAAAGGTTAGATACATTCACTTGCACAAAATGAAGATTAAGATAAAATTTGCAAAAAATGAAAATATTAGGGGATTGCTGCTGCAATTTTCCCTAAATTTGAGCTTCTACTTGAAAAGAAGATACCCTACAAAATTTCAATTTCAGATATGAAATTAACAAGGTAAAAAAATGTACATAAAGCTGAAATCCTAATGCATTAAAAGATAATATGAATAGTGAGGGAATGCCGTGCACAATCAATCAAATGCAATTTTTTAAGAATATTTTTTGAAATATTTGTATTAGGCATGCACTTGAAGTCAAAGAACACAACTTTTCAAGAGTCTAAAGAAGCTTTTAAACCTGGGCATATCTGGTCTAAAGTTGATTGTATAAAAGCGAAAGTGAGTACGTGTTTTTTTCTTACTCAATAGATCATCACGTTCAATAGCAAGTGGGTCCAAATAAATAAATTCTCTATGTAATAATATAAGATTATTTACTTCGTGAGCTTGTCTCTCGCCTGCGTAGCTCTACAAGGGCTTTAGCACGGGAAGGTCGTCTTTCCCGCTTTTTCGAAGATCATACCTTAGTAATAAAATATATCTTAATTTTTTTTCTTATTATCAAGATTTTAGATTAGGTTGATTGAATTTCAGGCACAATTTCGATTACGTCTTCATGATTCTAGTTCAAATCCAAAGATTGAAATGTCAATTTTAGATTCAGTAACCAGAACGCGATGGTTAAAAATTAAGTAGGAAGATCAATCTCAAGTTCAAATGCACTAACAAATTAAGCATAGAATATTTTATTTTATTTTATCTTTTCTAATTTTACATACATCATTACAAGATTAGGCCTATTGCCCCCACCAATTTGAGAGTGCTCTCCTTTCATGGGACAAGGAACTCCACGCATTATACACTTTAATACTACTTCCCAAGTTTAAATGTACAAATTAATCAAAAGCCTACAAGTTTGTGTTTAGTAATGTGGATATCGACTATGTAATTAATATTATGTATTAGACTTGCGTATTGCTTTTAACAAAAATTGTCAATTAATTTGTTGATTTTTTCTCAACCCAAATACCAAATCATTGAAAAATGCACAAGATTTAGGTTAGGTGATAGACAAGATCATGTTACAGAATATTTTTATGTTATGTAACACTGTCAATTGAATCTAAGGTAAGTTGGCTAATTTTTCGAAAAGAAAAGGAGGATTGTCCGTTGACCATCTAGCAAATTTAAGTACGTCGTCAAATTTGACTTGATTATTGATTTGATTTAATTCAGTCGATAAATCCTTGTGCTAATGGTTGATCAATAATTAGACCGAAAAGCTTAGTGAGAATTATTTTGTGAACANTAAAATATTTTTTGTTTGTCAAAGTTAGAATAAGAATCTGACCTATTATAAAATTAACCTCACCAAAATAATTAACATTATTTATTTATTTATTAGTAAATAAGTAACATAAAAAATCGAAGAGAAATGATATTCAAAAGAAGAATGCATATGAATGGACTGCCCCTTTGTCAATGCAATCTACTTATATCATATACCGAAGTGAACAGTATCAAACATAATGATGGACACATTTGCAAAACAAGAGTATTTAATAATTAATACGTATTATTGCAGAACAAAGTGCATGGAGAATACATGTCTACGTTCTCAAGTCTGCACCACATGTAGACGATTGAATTCAGACATTCTGTGGACATAACTATTTTCAGATGCAGAGGGACCATTTCACTCACTTTAAACACTGTTTTTTAATTAAATTTTCCAAGCCCAAAATGTGCACATTTTATAAATGTTTGGAAAATATCTAATATTGTACAATTATGCGACATGCATAACCTAGTTTTGTACAATTATGTGACATACATTAATTGCGTAGTTGAAAAGACTCGATTAGACAAAGGAAAAGAAATTTTGACAAACTTATGGTGGTCCCTTTTATTTGAATTGTTATGTACTTGAATTTTATTTTTCATACGGCGAAGGTTGGTATCTTACATTTCAATTTAATATATTGTTTTCTAGTTTAAATAGATTCTCCACTAAAGCCACGTTTATGGAAAAGGAAATATGTGCTAAAAATAAATTATCTACTTGAGACTACAATAACAAATACGTAGATGTGCTAGTGTCTACCGTGACAACAACAACAGTACAAGGTGATAGTGCTTGTTGTACAAGTAATAATATCTTGAGGAGATGGTTGACGATGGTGGTAATAAAAGGCAATGAGTATAACTCGATATATTATGAGAGCAACACACTTTGTTGATGCGTGGTCCATGAGGTTATGCGTGTAGATGGGTGGTCCAACTCCAACTCCAACTCCAACCCTAACCTCAACCCCAACGACCTACTCTAACCCCACCCAGCCACCAAACTTGTCCTTCACCCACACTAAATTGATGGGTGGTCCATGAGATTATGCGTGTAGATGGAGGAGGTCAGCAATGGAAAATGTTCAAGTGGTGTGGTGGTTTTTGGATTTGAGAATGGTGGTGCCGACGAAGTATAGATTTAAGAGTGGTGTTTGCTAGAGTGGTGGTGGTGATGTGAACGGAAATGATGATGGTGGTGATGATGATGACCATGGTTCTATTGTGTCTTCGTCGATGAGGTGGTGATAGCAACCAACTACAGTGAGAAATCATCTAGTTTGTGGCAGCGCTTGTTTTTAGGTAGGGCTGAGGTTGGTTGTCGAGGTTGGGATTGGATGGAATGGAGAAGATGAATATTTTTCTTCTTCTTATTTATTTTTTTGTTTCTATTTTTTAATTAACTAAATATTAAAAATCACTTTACACAACATTAAATTGGTTAAATTAAGGTCATGCTTGACTTTTGGTCAAATGATAGATTTTCAATTGTATCAAAGATTTTCAATATTTGCTTCTTATTCTTCTCACCAATCTTCCATTGATCAGCACATATGGTCCTCTTGATGACATATGTCCATGTTTTTGCTAGAAAATTAGAGGAAAAACACTTGTAGCATTTTCTTATTCATTGTTTTATCTCTCTTTCATTTTTTCCCCTTATTTAAACATGAGAAACAAAAAAGTTTTTATGCCCTCCTAAAGAAAACCATCATCGTATACTAGATGTGTTAATTAGTAAAATGTTAAATATAAGAATGTAGAAAAGTTGGAGTATAATTAAAAAATAATGTAACAAATAAAAATTATCGTGTCAATATAATTACTCTTTTTTTTTTTCTTTTTTTTGAAGTTTTTGTGCTTAAATTTTTTATATTTTGGAAAAGTTATACCATATATATCTATACTTATATTATGCATTCTTATATGTTATAATTGTCGGTGAACCGCGAGGATGGACCATGTCTTTCGCTGAATTTTGGCCACAGGATAGATCTAGTCAAGAAAGACTTCTTCCACACGA